TTGGGGGGGGCTGGGGGCGCCCCCACCCAGGCCGGGGCTCCCACGGGCCTCCACACGGCAGCGGATCCTTCACCGCAAAATCGCGGCTTTGCACAACAGAGCTCTCCCGGGGCCTGGCCCCCCGCGGCCATGGCCACCGCCCGTGGCCCCCCTGGCTCCTCTCCCCGGCCAGGAGCGCTGCCCACACTCACGCCCCGCGGAATCAGCTGCAGCCAAGACAGAGGCAGGTGAAGGCGCACCCTCAGAAACGGGGGCGCGCAGAGCCCCCGGAGAGCCCCATGGGCACCCCGGGGTGCGGGCCGGCGTGGGGCGTGGGGGTCGGACACGCAGACTGGCGGCCGGCCACCCGCCGCCCCGGGGGAGGGGGCTGAGTCTCCGTCCCCCTCCGGTGTGCCCACGCGCCAGTGTGCCCGCAGGAGCAGGGTGACTCAGCCACCGGCCATCTGGCCCACGCGACGGGCGGGACACGGCGGGCGCGTGGCCGGAGGCCGCCACGCCAGTACTCACGGTTCTTCTTGTACATCAGGATCTCGAAGGAGCTCATGTCGTAGTTCTCAAACGTCTGCCGCACCTTCTCCACGGTGTCCTTGTCCGTCAGCTCCCCGAACATAAAGCTGCAGAGCCGAGAGGGTCAGCGAGCGGCCGGCCTGTCCCCGCCACCCCAAAGGTGCAGCCCACGCAGGGACTCGCTGGGGGCGAGCTGGCGGGCTGCGTCAGGAGGGGGGCGAGTGGTGCTCTGGGGGCCCAGCCGGACGGCCTGTGGACAGCTTCTCCTTCCTTTTCCCACCCAAGAGGGAGGCGCGGGGTGGACAGAAACGGCCCAGGGCCGGGAGGGGCAGGCAGAGCCGGACACACAGGCCAGCCCCTGCCCGGCTCCTCCCGCTGCCCCTGCTGAGGCGAGGGCCGGCGCATGGCCGCACTGTCCGGCTGCCCGGGCCTGCCGGGCCTGGGGCCGAGGTCTGTCTAGGAATCAGCACGCCCACGGAGGTGGGGGGCCGGGGCCCGGGCCGGGAGGCCGCCGAGGACCGGACAGGGCCGGACAGGGCCGGACAGGGCCGTCCGCGCCCGCCGACTCGGGCCTCGGCCTCGGGCACAGTGACGAGAAAGGGGAGCCCGCACCCCAGAGAGGGGCGGCCCGGGGCCTGCCCGCCTGCGGCGCCTCCCTTTCGGGGGCAGGGGGCGGGGTGCTCACACCTGCACTTCCCGGGCCCCGAAACCTGGGGTGTGACGGAGGGTCACCCCGCCAGCTGCCGGGCTGGTCCCACGCCCCGAAACCGGCTTCTGAAGCCTGGCCGCTTTGCTGCGGGGGGAGTCGGCCAAGTGTGCACCCCCAGAACCCAGCGCTGAGGAGCCCGGAAGTGAGAAGACAGAGGGTGCTGACGCAGGCCTGGGGGCCGCACCCCGCCCGCAGGGCGCCTCGAGGTCCCCCCAGAGGCCTTCCCACAGCCCCCCCGCTGCTCACCCCAAAGGCTGGAAGCACAAGCTCTGTGCCAGGGGGGCTGGCTATCGGCCGCTGGACAGCCCGTGCGGGCGACCCCGGGGCCACCCACAGACGCCGCCCGCCCACCGCGCCAGCCCCCTCCGGAAAGAGCGCTCGTGGAAGCTTCTGGAAATGTCGCGCTTCCGGAAAGGCACTTTCGTTGTCCTGAGAAAAAAGGGGGAGTTTCCGAGAGCCACAGCTGAGGGCGTGGGGTCAGCACCCCGAGTCTGAGTGGAGCGCCACGGTCAGCACCCCAAGTGTGAGCAGAGCACCACGGCCAGCACCCTGAGTCTGAGCAGGGACGCTGCGGTCAGCGCCTTGAATCTGAGTGGGGTGTCACAGCCAGCACCCCAAATCTGAGCAGGGACACTGCAGTCAGCACCCTCAATCTGAGCAGGGCACCACGGCCAGCACCCCGAGTCTGAGCAGGGACACTGCGGTCGGCACCTTGAATCTGAGTGGGGGCGCAACAGCCAGCACCCCGAATCTGAGCGGGGCACCGCAGTCAGCACCCCGAATCTAAGTGGGGCGCCACCGCGAACACCCCGAGCCTGAGCACACAGTCACACAGCCCCTCCCACCACCTTTGGGGAGCAGCCCCCTCCCCGGCCCCGCGACCTGGGCTCCGCTCCCGGGCTCCCCCCCAGTCGGCCCAGCCGTGGGGTCACGCCTGCTCGGGTGAGGGTCACGCACCCCGAGTCCCCCACAGCTGCGCCCCGGCCCACGGCCTCTGGCCTCGTCTCGGGGAGGTCGAGCGTCCCTGCACCCCGTCCCGGCTGCTGCTCGGCCCAGGCCGCCCCCGTCCCCCCAGGCAGCTGCGGCCACACCGGGCTCACCACCCTGCACCTCTGGCCTGTACCCCAGTTCTGTATGCATGAAGAAATACATCTTTAGGACCCTCCCTGGGGGCGCAGCGGGTTAAAGTGCAGCACTGAGAATCTGAAGCCGCTTCCGCATGAGTTCGATCC